GTTTTCTGCTCTCTGAGATCCATCCATTCCGGTTTTTGAATTTCCGGTGAGTTCGTTCTTTTGCGTGTTCTTAGGTGCTTGAGAGGTTAAAATCGGTGCGTCGATTAGTTGATTTAGGTTTCCGATAGGTAGGATTTTGTTGGTTTGGGGTTTTGTTGGAGGCGATTAGGTTAGTCCCTAAGATAGTCAATTCAAAAACTAGAGAGGTTGTAGACTAAGTCATCCAAAAGTTGCCCTAATCATTTATGTCGAATCATCTGAGAGTCGCCGGGAAATTGCTGTCGAATCGGAATTGTTTCGCTGCCGGAGATTGAAGTTGCTGCTGTGTGCCGCTGCTTGTTTTCGCTGTGGACGTGAGCCGTTGCTTCACCAGAGTTCAAATTGCCGTCATTGCTATTCGTTGGTGGATTTCCGAAGTTGTTTGGAGATCGAGTGGAGTCTTAGTTGAATCTAGGAATCGAGGGTCAATTGACTTGTTCTGCAAATTGTTTATGGTGTCTGTTGATCAATCCAGAAAGAAGCTGCTGCTTGCTTGATTTAATTCTCAATCCATTTAATATCTTGAGTTTTACTTTGATATTAATCTTGAACACAAGCTAGTTGATGTTTTTTATTGTTTGACAGATTATTAAAAACACAACAGTGGTATCAGAGCCAAATCTGTCAAACCATCAAGTTTGGGCAGAATCTTCGGGTAAAAGGCTAAACCCTTTCTTTTTAAATTCTTTGTGAATCTGCTGATTGCATATTAGATTAGGATCTTAGTGAATTTGCTGATTGCAAAGATTGATTGTGTAATCTTGAAAATCTTTTTTTCTTTGTGGCTCTAGATTGTGTTTGATTGCTAGTGTGGTAATTGCTTGAATTGTATTTTTGATTGATTTGTTTTGTGTACAAATATTTTCTTTTAAATGATTGCTTATATATGTATTTTTTTTAATATGCAGTCATTTAATGGGAAAATAGATTTTTCTATTTGGAAACAAAGAATGAAAAGTGTTTTAATTACTCAAAAACTTTCTCGAGCGATAAATGACACATTTGATGATGATACACCTATGGAAAAACGTGTTGAAATGGATGAATGTGCATATGCGTGTGTTGCACTTAACTGACAATGTGCTTAGGAAAGTAGGTAAGTTTTTTAGTGCAAAACAATTGTTAGAGAAGTTAGATGCATTGTACACGGAAGTAATTTTGTCAAATAAATTGTTTTTGCTTGAAAATTTTTTTCAATTCAAACTAGACATTAAGAAGGGTGTTATGAGAATATTGATGTCTTTACTAAACTAATTCAAGTTATAAAGTTGAGTGGAGATCAATATATTGATGAATATTCTCCGATTGTGCTTTTGAATGTCATTCTTGATTCCTATAGTGATGTTAAACCCGTAATTAAATATGGTAGAGATAACATTACTTTAAATATAGTAATAAATGGTTCAAAAAGTAAGGATTTAGATTTAGTAGCTAATAAATCAATTGGAAACTCAAGTGGCGATATTATACATGTAAAATGTAGAGTTTTCAATAGGAATAACCAAAACAATAACAACAGAGATAATCAATAATCGAATAACAATAAAAAGAAAATTAAAGAAAAGAATTATAAGTCAATGCTATGGTTGTGGTGGTCGCAGGTGACTTCACGGTCACAAGTCCAACCCCTACACCACCAGACCATTCCTTGCAGGACAAAATAATGTAAATAGAACTTAAATATATACCCTAAACCCGGGACAAGTCCATTTTCTTTTCTTATGTGGAGTCTCTTACCATTTCCCTATAACTTCTGTATATATATATATATCTTTAATCATTTTTTCCATTATTTCTTTGTTTTTTTTTTTTTGGTACTATTTTTTTTTATAAATTATTTTATTTTATTTTAAAGATATTTTATCAAATTATTGTTTAAATAAAAAAGGGTAAACTATTTTTTTAGTCCCGTAACTGGACCCCCTTATCATTTTAGTCCCGTAAGTGGAGCATGTCGCAAACTAGTCCCATAAGTAAAAATTTTTCGTTGTTTTAGTCTTCCGGCGTCGGAGACGCCTGCGTGGCTCGCCGGAGGTGACGTGTCCGCAAGGTGTCTCGTCAGGTCAGCGACACCTGGCACACACGTGGATTTTTTTTTTTTCATTTATTTTTAATTTTTTTTAATTTTTTTATAATTGGACCAAATAAAAAAATAAAAATAAATTAAAAAATAATTTTTTAAAAAAATAATTTTTTAAAAAAATTTAAAAAAATGAAAAAAAATAAAAAAAATCGACGTGTCTGCCAAGTCAGCAACACCTGGCGGACACGTCACCTCCGGCGAGCCACGCGGGCGTTTCCGGCGCCGGAGGACTAAAACAGCGAAAATTTTTCACTTATGGGACTAATTTGCGACAAGCTCCACTTACGGGACTAAAATGATAAGGGAGTCAAGTTACGGGATTAAAAATACAGTTTACCCAGTAAAAAAATATAAATACAAAACATACAAAGAAAAAACACTTTCCTTATTTTTAAAATTTAATTTATCTTATATGTATTATACAAAATGTTATTATTTACAACATAGTCATTCTGTCTTATTACAATTGACATCTTTTCAATTTTTGTCTATTTCAAAACAATTGACACATTTCTATTTTGAATAAAGCATAGTAAATAAAAAAAATACTTAATAAATATAAATCAACTTAATTAACTGCATAATATATAACATCATAAATCATATAATAGGATATACTCAAAACCTCACTACAAAAAAGTAACATATTTGTAACGAAAATTATGTCCATAAGATTCACGTAACTAATGCAATTCATCTAAAAATATTTAAATACATATATAATTTTTTTTAATCATAGGAGTATATTATATTTATTTTTAAAATATCAATATTATTAATTACATAAAAAATAATAAAATAATATTATAATTCATTATTATTATTAATTAAATATTATTTTTTTAAATACTGTGTTATTAATAAAAACGGTCGATAAGGGTATATACATAGCGACCATATTATTATATTAAAATACATAAATCTAAAAAACATTTCGAAACATATTTTTAAATAAATATACTCCCTCCGTCTCGAAACTAAATATTCATTTGCTTTTTGCATGTAGTTTTAGAAATATTAATATTATATTGGGATATAGTAGGAATAAAGTAGAAATGACTAAAATAACCTTATTAGTATGTGTGATATAAAGGTAATGAGATTTGTGTAATATATTGTAAGTTGTAAGGGTATTTGTAATGTTAAGTAGATAGTACAATTACTAAAAAAATAAAATGAATATTTTGTTATAGGACGGACTAAAATAAAAAAATAAATACTTTGTTATGGGACAGTATTATACTCCTTGGCTCCTTCTTACATGTCAAATCACTATTTTTTTAATAATTAGATACCTTAATTTTTATTTTACAATTTCTGATTAGTATTTTTTTTATTTTAATTTAATTACTTAATTTAAATTAAAATTAATTTTAATTTATAATTATCTATACTATGAAATACTTATTTTTATAATATTTTTAATTATTTATGAATTATATTTTATAAAAATTCTCTGTCTACTGTATCCCAAAACCATAGCAAGGAAAGACAGAGTATTGTATTATTTAAACTTTATAAAATCATTTGTTTGTTCATTTAAAAATATGAAAAGGGTGTTTGGGAAAGAGTTTTTTTAAAAGTTTTCAATTTATTAAACAATTTTTAGTGGTTTGATCAGTTAAAATATTAATTTACGTGTTTGGTAAATTATTTTTTAAAAAAAAAAAAAAATTGACCCAAAAACTAATTTCTGAAAAATTAATCTACTCACCGTTAATAGCTTTTTCATTTTAATTTTGTTTAGTCTTTATTTACCCTTAAAAACAAATAATTTATTTCATACATACAAATATATTTTTATTAGAGTATTTATTAACTATTTACATATATTTAATTAATTAAATTATAATTTTATTTTTGTAAAGTTAAAATAATTACTTTAATTATTACATATAAATGTTTTTATTTGTAAAATATATAAATATATTAAAATTAAACCAAATAGAAAAGACAAATACTATTAATTAATTTATACATTTATTTATTATATAAGTTTTATATTAAAAATTAATAAACAATAATTAATATAATAAAAATATATTCAAAAGATTTATAATTTTATTTATTGTTTTTTAATTAAAATATAGAAAAACAAAAATAAAAATTTTATAATATTTTTATAATTTTCAATAATTAATAACAAATTTTTTTATATATTTTAAATCAAAATAAAAAAATTATATATTTTAAAAAATAATATATAAATATCTTTAATTGTTATTTTACGTATAAACCGCTGATGTCAAATACTCCCTCCTTCCATAACAAGGTATCCATTTACCTTTTGCTAACGTTAAAAATATCCTTATATTTGTATAATTTTTTATACAAATGTTATTATATTAATATTATAAGACACAAATAGATATATTTTTACAAATTTTTCCTTAATTTGTAATACGTTTTGATATAATAATTAATATATAAAGATAAACATGCAAAAAATAAATAGATATTTAATTATAAAACAAAATAAATAATTATTTTACCAAATATTTTAATAGAAACACCTAATTGAATCAAACCAACTACTCAAATCCGATAATTGAACTAATTGAATCAGCGGACGGCCAGCTAACGGACAAACGCACTCTAAACGAAAATAATTACTCCAACATCCAAAATCAAACCCAAAACACGTTCGAAACCAAACATATCCATGTTCTATTTTTAGGATATTTGAAATATAAATAGTAGTAGTACTTATATATAACAAATGTCTTTTTTAAAAAATAAAAAATAAAAACGTAATTAAAATTAATTTACATAATCATATTTATGAATTTATATTAATGATTTTATTAATTCAAATTAAAGCTGGATCTGATATAAATCAGCCTAATTATTCGCTGTGAATGAATTTGTGTAATGTGATTCGTGTTTATCGGCTGGAGTCGCTGGACCTCCGCGCCTATATATAAAGCCCTCCGATCATCTTCTTCAACTCACACACATTTCTTTCTACTGTTGTTTTGCTTTTCTCAGAATTTCTCTGCTCCATTTCTCAGAAAATTTTAAGGATCGCACACCATGGATGTCGATTTGTCCCCCAAATTGAGTAAAAAGGTGTATGGCGGAGACGGTGGTGCCTACTACGCCTGGTGCCCCAACGAGCTCCCCATGCTGAAGGAAGGTAACATCGGCGCGGCTAAGCTCCATCTCGAGAAGGATGGCTTTGCGCTTCCTCGATACTCCGATTCCGCTAAGGTTGCGTATGTTCTTCAAGGTAAATTGACATTTTCTCGCCTGTTTGGTTGTTCATTTAGCGTTTATTTCCATGAACGCCGGAGTTTATTTCATTTATGCTCTGTCTTCGTTGTTCTGGATCTGTTCGTCTGTTTATCGGTAAATTTTATTTCGGATTTTCGCTCAGCACGTTTGCTGTTTCTCGATTTCGCTATTTTATTGAATGATTTGGTAGTGTTTCTCGATTTCGCTATTTTATTGAATGATTTGGTAGTGTTTCTCGATTTCGCTAGTTAATTGAATGATTTGGTAGTGTTTCTCGATTTCGCTATTTTATTGAATGATTTGGTAGTGTTCGTTGCAGCGATTCATTTTTCAAACATTTTGTTCCTGAAACTAGGGTAAACAGCGATAGATCAATGGATCTACGGTTAATGATTCATTGCTAATTTTGTTGGTCTAATTTTTCGAAACCAAACCATGTGCGTTTGAAGGTTGTGGAGTGGCCGGAATCATCCTCCCGGAGAAGGAGGAGAAGGTGCTTGCAATCAAAAAGGGGGACGCCATTGCCCTACCTTTCGGCGTGACCACATGGTGGTACAACAAGGAAGACACCGAATTAGCAATTCTCTTCCTCGGAGACACATCCAAAGGCCACAAGGCAGGATCCTTCACCGACTTCTTCCTAACAGGCCCCAACGGCATCTTCACCGGCTTCTCCACCGAGTTCGTCTGCAGAGCATGGGATGTCGACGAAGCCACTGCAAAAGCTCTCGTCGGAAGCCAAAAGACTCAGGGAATCGTAAAGCTCCCACCCAACACTAAAATGCCTGAGCCTAAGAAGGAACACTACAATGGCATGGCCCTTAACTGTGAGGAAGCTCCTCTGGACGTCGACATTAAAGGCGGAGGCAAGGTTGTCGTCCTCAACACCAAGAATTTGCCGTTGGTCGGTGAGGTTGGCCTCGGCGCCGATCTCGTGAGGCTCGACGGCGGAGCCATGTGCTCGCCGGGGTTCTCCTGCGACTCCGCCCTACAGGTCACCTACATTGTGAGGGGCAGCGGCAGAGTTCAGGTTGTCGGGGTCGACGGAAAACGTGTCCTCGAAACGACAGTCAAGGCCGGGAATCTCTTCATTGTTCCGAGGTTCTTTGTTGTGTCGAAGATCTGCGACTCAGATGGCATGGATTGGTTCTCGATCATCACGACTCCTAAGTGAGGATCATTCCCTTTTCGATTGATTTTACAAATTTTCCGATTTTGTTTTGGTGGTCGATTCTAATCTTTTCGTTTTTTGTAGCCCGATTTTCACTCATATGGCGGGAAGGACTTCGGTGTGGAAATCGCTGTCGCCGCAAGTGCTGCAGGCGGCGTTCAATGTAAGTCCCGACGTGGAGGGGAAGTTCTCGTCGAAGAGGAAGGCGGAGGAGATCTTCTTCCCGCCACCAAAGTGAGAAGGAAACAAGAGTAACTTTTCTCTGCTTGCTCGCTAGTTTTCATATGAATGAATAAATGAGCATTGCTTTTCTTCAGACTGGGGTGGGGTGGGTTGGGGTGGGGTGGGTGTAAATGTTCTTTGAGATCAATAATATTTGAGACTTGTCTACGGGTTTATTATGAAAATGTTACAAATAATTTTGAATTTTAGATATGATTCATTTTTTTTTTGTTGTTGTTTTTTAATTTTGGATTCTCAAATTTATGTGTATATATATTATCTATTAAAAAATAAGTTATAAGAATAAATAAAGGCAAAAGAGTTAAAATATATACTCCCTCTGACCATTAAAATTAGCTCATTTGACTTCGCCATGAAAATTAAAGAAAAAAATATTTTATTAAAAAATAAAAGATAAATTTAGTGGATGGACTAAATTGGAAAGTGATAATAAATTTGGCCAAATATTATCTAATTTAATTATGCAAAAAGTAAAATTGATTATTATGGAAAGAGGTTGTCTATAACTAATACCGAAATTTATATCTCAATCCAGGATTTGAGACATTGATTACTTTATTTCATTATTTATATATATAGATTACTTCTTTTATATATATATATATATATCATTATATTATTATATTTAAATAATAGTCGTTTTTAACTTATTTATTTTAAATAAATATTGAATGAAAATTAATAATTAAATATTAATTTATAATAATAGAATAAATTAAACGGATTTATAAAAAAATAAATAAATAAATAAATTGGAGGGTATGTTGCAATGTAACAATGAGGTGTTTAATTTTATTATATTTTTATTTAAAACAAATCTTCTTCCGTTCTACGTAATTTGTTCTTATTTTTTATTTTCTATTTTCGTCCGTCTCACGTAACTTGTCATTTTTTTTTTGGAAATATAATTATTCACTTTAATTATATTTTAAATTTTATATTTTATAATTCTTTTTAATCTTAATTAAACTATTTAGTTATCTTGATCTTAATTTATAATTATTTTTACTAATATATTTCTTAATTACTTACTAATTATACTTTAGCTAAATTTTCGTATCTACGACGACTCGCTCAAATTATTTAGGAGGGAGAAAGGATATATTTTCACATTCTTCACTTCGGGTCGTACTAATTTGATTCGAGTATTCTTGAATATAAATGACATGAAGGTTTGTATCTTTCTGTAACTCATTTCATTCAATTAAATACTCAAAGAGGTGTCATATTTTTTTTTTTGGCTCAAATTCAAAACTTAAAAAAAATTTAACTTCCTTAAAAAAAAAAAACCAATGAATTTTTTTTTTGAAAATTTGATTTGGTTTTTTATATTTAGTACTCCTCTCTCACCTATTTGTATTTACTTTCATTGTTTTTTAGGTCGTCTAAACAATTTTCATTTCTTTATTTAGTAAAAAAAGTTACATTATTATTGAACATCTTTTTTTTAATTATTATAAAAGACAAAAAGTACACACCACGTTAAAATTTGTCTAAAAATTTGAGCACTTTTTTCGGTGAAAGGGAATACATTATTTATTTTTTGTAATTTTAATTTTTTAATATTATTTTATTTTATAATAAATCATATTTTGAATCACATATATTTTTTTTTAATGTTTTATCAAATTAAAATCAAGTTGGATTTAGATTTCAGGTTATCCGGAATTAATCTAACCCAATTTTTTTTTGGATTTATATTGATCTGATATTTAAAAACCCGAATCTGAAAATTTTCACATGAAACATATTCGATTTCCGGGGCCAAATTCAACGTTGACACCTCTACGATTTTCAATCCAATTCCGTGAAAAACATCGTCGGAGTCGTGTCCAACTCTTTTAAATTGATGAGGAAATTCAAGAATTGTCTTGTCTAGCTGCAAAAATGTATGGTGTAGCAAATTATACAAGTATATCACATATTTTAAAACAGCTAAGCACAAAATCTTAATCATGTAGTAGAGCACAAAATAATTTTTTTTTTAAAAAAAAATTAAAAATAAAATACAGAACAACAATCCAGTTGTATATGAACAACAAATTATGTGATGCACACTGCTAGCACATGCAGTTAAAAGCATATGTATGTTAATAATACTTTAATCAGATTTAAATGAATTATAAATTCAAGATAGCAACAACCTCACATATAAAAATCACATAACCACATAATGTGAGAAGGTTAAAAGATATTAAAATTTTAAAACATACATATATATATATATATACACACACACACACATGTTCTAAGCACGTCGTATAAAAACAATTACAATTTGACAAATAAAAAACACATAATATACTTTCCATTAGAGCCGGCAATGGGTCGATTCGTGTCGGGTTGAATACTTTAAACGAGTTAAATTACTCAACCCTAACCTAATCCGTTTATTATCGTGTCGGGTTCGTGTTAACCCGTTTATTATCGTGTCGGGTTCGGGTTGACTCGTGTTGACCCGTATACATAATTAAGTCTAATTTCTTTATTCAAATTAAATAATTTTTTATTTTGTTGTCGTGTTATGTTAGTTTTTATTGGTTTGAGTGTAAATTAGGTTGAATTATTTAAAATTTAACTTAGTTTAAATTAATTTATGAAAAAATTATTAAATTATGATTATTTTTTATATATAATAAATATATTAATCAATATTAATATATTATAATCGGGTTGTCGTGTCGGGTTCGAGTTGAGAGCCTCAACCCTAACATGACCCGTTTATTATCATATCGGGTTCGTGTCAACCCGTATACATAATCGGGTTGAAATCTTTGGCCTAAATCCAATTATTTCGTGTTGGGTCGTGTCGGGTCAGTTTTTGCCCGCTCTACTTTCCATAAGCACAACAAATTAATATATTACACACACTATTATTTTTATATTATCCACACAATTTCTTATACTTTTCAATTTTATTTTTTTATTTTTCCTTCAAATCAAAATATAAAACAAACAAACCAGAAATATACATATATTTCAAAACATATTTGTACTTAAAACATTTGTAATAGTACTTTAATCAAATTAAAATGTAGTATAAATGTAAATCAACAACATGATTACATATAAGAAGCAAGCATTTAGCACATTGCATAAAATAACTAAGTACTTATTATTTCAAGAAAGTGAGAGGTACATAAAATCAAACAAATAATTTTTATTTTTATTTTTTAATAACACTTTATGTTGGTTATTAGAACACATTTTTCTTTTTTTTAAAAAAAAAAATTAAAGTGAAGCATTTGATTTATATAAATCACTAGATAATCTTAATATTTATAAATTTTAAACAGTTACAAACTGACAAGCAAAAGACCAATATTATCATAAACATTGTATAAAAGTTTTTGAAAATGTGTTGAGAAGTTGTTTCATATATAGCAAGTTAGACTTGGTAGACAACACATTCAAGACTAAGAAGGTGTTTAAGAAACAGCTTTTCGAAAAAAATTTAGCTTATTGAATAGGTTTTAGCTGTTTGACCAGTCAAAAAACTAATTTAGGAGTTTGGTATATTAGCTTTCTTAAAGAGCTTTTTGGACCAAAAAAGCTAATATCTGAAAAGCTCATCTACCCAGCGTTTTGAAAGAGCTTTTTCATTTTAATTTTGGTTATTCCTTATTTACCCTTAAAACTTAATTATTTATTTTATACATATAAATATATTTTTATAACAGTATTTATTAATTATTTTTAATATATTTAATTTATTAAATTATATTTTTATTTTTGTAAATTTAAAATAATTACTATTATTAATTATTACATATAAATTATTTTATTTGTAAAATATATAAAATTTTGAAACTAAATCAAATAGAAAAAACTAAGGTTATTAATTTATTTATATATTAAAACAATAATTAACATAATAAAAATATATATACGAAAGATTTATTATTTTATATTTACATAATTTATTGCTTTTTAGTATAAATAATTTTCTCAGATTTAAATAATAAAAATAAAAATAAATATTTTATAATATTTTTATAATTTTCAATAATTAATAACAAAAATTATCATAAATTTCAAATCAAAATGAACAAAATTAAATATTTTAAAAAATAACATATAATATCCTTAATAGTCATTTTATGTATAAACAGCTATTATCAAACAGTTCTTTTACCAAACACTTTAATACAAACCGCTAATTGAATCAGCTAACAACTAACAACTAATTGAATCAGTTAACAACTAAAAGTTATCAGCTAATTGTCAAACGCACCATAAGTATAAAACAACGCTTCCCTACGTCCACTTTAAAAGTATACATTTATTTTTGGCACAAACTTTAAAAAATAATAATATTTTAATTATAATAGATAGTTATAAAGAATGTAAAGACAAATTTGTCATTATATTTTTGGTGTAAAAGTAATAATATAATGATAAGATAAAAGAAGTATTTGTAGAAAAAAGAGACGTTTATAATTATTAAAAAAATAATAATTACATTTTACTTATACAATATACTTTTTAAGTAGACGAAATAAGTATTTGATAACAAATAAAATTAGAACTATATAGAGAATTAAGATATATTTTACATTTTGCAAAATGTGTCAATTACACATAATACTATGTGCTTGAGATCGTATCTTTTTTTTTTTTTTTGTTAAAACTATTTACTAAGTTATTATTGTGTGTTTACTTGTAAGATTTTAGTTTTGGATTTTAATTTTGAATAGTAAATTTTTTTAATTGAAATAGTTGTTTGATGTATATTTATGCGATGTTTTGAATGTAAAATTTAATTTTAGTGTAATATAATGAACTCGGTGCTTGTTCATTCATATATCTTATATAGATTATGAAATGCCAACATATTAGATGATTATTTGGTGTCTTTGCATAGCAATTCAACTCCAACTCCAAGTAGATATGTTTGTCAATGACCTACATAATATAAGTTGATCATTGTGTAAGTTTTAGTAAAAGTAGAGTTGTTAAATGAATCAAGTTGTTCATAAATTTGGCTTGGTTTAAATTCGTTCGTGAATATTAACGAGTCGAGTCGAGCCGAACAACATAAAAAAACTCATTTTGTTAAAGAATGAGACCGAGGTTTGTTCGTAAATGTTCGCAAATGTTCGTTGAAAAATAAATATATAAAATTATTAATTAAAATAAATAAATAAAATAATATATATAATAAAGCATTATATATATGCACAAATAAATAAATATTATATATATGAATTAGAATATAAAATAAAATATCATATCTATATAAACGAGCTCGAACGAGCCCAAACGAGTTTATTCGAGCCAAACAAATACGAATACGAATTCAAACAATAAAATTTCTTAACGAACTAAGTTCGAATAATACGAACAAACTCAAATACTTAACGAATGAACAAGAGTCTTGTTCGTGAACGTTAACGAACGAGAACAAACACTTAAAATTTTGTTCGATTTAACTCATTAATGGTCCAACGAAAAAGCACGTGAAATTAGATGTTGATTGTTGTTGGTGTTGGTTGGACTAATTTGATTGTGACTTGGTTTTATGAATGACTTGGGTTTGTGTGGGCCTATTGCTTGGGTTGGATTCACGTCTTGTGTTCAAATGGTTTAGACCAACTATTACTCATTTTATCCTTAACTTTGGGTTTGGTGTTGGTTTGTACTCTTTCTTACTAAAAGATATTCATATTTTATATTAAAATTAGATGGATTAAAAATAAAGTTGGACTATTATAGAAAATTTATTAAATATTTGATGAAAAAAATAGTGGTGTAAGTAAAAAAAGTAGTGATGTAAGTAGAAAAAGTAGTGAAAAATTAGTTATTATTTGTTAAAGTGAGAATAATAAAATTATGGATGGATAAAATTATTTACTATAAATTAATTGTATATAAATTTAGCGAATGAAAAAAAAAAACCAGTAATATAATTTTGACTGATGTAAAAAGTATTTAGTATTTTAATTTATTTTCTTTAGATCACCAATTAGCCCAATGAAGATCTTACAATCAAAAGCCCCAAATGAGCCGATCATTTCACCTTCCCAGGCCGGCCCATCCTTACAATAGCCTATAAGAGCAGGTTCAGGTATGGACTCGATCAGAAAGATGACGTGAGGAGCTGTTTTGCCACCAAACCAAAAATTGGCCCAAGTCAAATGTTAGTCCGACGCCTAAAGCTGGCCCAACTTATTTCTTGCAACTACAAGCCCAAAGCAAACAATAGTGTGGCCCAACCAGGAACGATCGGGCCCATGTAGCAGCTCGTGGATGTAGTAAAGAGGTGATACAAAAGGCTATTTTGAAGAAAAATATGAAATTTGTTGGAAAGAATTTAGAGATAAGGATTTCGTCAAACAAGATTCAAGAAAAATAAACAAGATCCAAAATGAGAGATTATTCTACACGAGATTCGTTATTTGTTTTTCAATAACTTTTATGCAATTTTCTTTGTATTTTTTCTTTAAGAACATCACATTATTTTTCTACAGCTTTTTGTTAATTCGAGCATTCTTTTAATTCAATTTAAGCATTTTTTCACATTCCCCGTATTAATTTAGGTCTTCTTGCTACTTTATTTGTTTAAAAATTGCGAGATAGCCCAAATTCTTTCTTTAGGAGGCCAGAGAACCCTATGATCAAATCGATTTCAACAGATTTTTCCAATTAAACCATCGGAGGTGATTTTTTTTTACGACAACGGAATTGGCACACCCAGTGGGATAGCAACGTCTCGTGATCTTGCATAAAACTCCAAAAAAGAAAATTGACGCAGCCGACAATTGCAAAGATGTCCAAAAAAAAAGTCGGCGATTCGTTATCTCACATGACGCCCGAAATCGCTTCACATGATGAGACGTCCGAAGCTGTTGGAATGCCGGATTAGATTTTCAACCTTCTTGCCTACGTACTTTAGAAGCAAATTCATGGGGAAATTCAATCGCCCATTCGCAGATCCGCCTGAAACTATTTCAATACATTACCGACGTTCTAAAACTGGCTATTCAGAACGATTTTGCTGCTTCAGGGGGAGAAAGCTTGATAATGAAAGGCATTGATGGTCAATTCCATCAAGCCGGAAATCTAGCCTCTTGCGGGTCTCACTATCAACTCTGCAACATATTCGACCTCCCAGACAATCAAATACGTCATATCACCCTATTCGGTAACAGTGCTAGGTCTGAAGAAAAATCTTACCTTTGCACCTGAAGAACAACTCCAAATTCGTTCAAAAAAATTTCTCGATGCCTTTGGAGAGAAAATCCACCGTAATAATGAAAAGAGATAGGGATAAAGGATCTCCTTGCCGAGAAGATTTGAAAAACCACTCAACTCTCAATTGATGATATCGAGAACCAAATATTACTACAATTCATAATCAACTTAAAAAAACTTTTCATCGAATCCAAGCTTGGTCAACACTTGGTTGAAGAAACTCAAATCAACTCGATCATAAGAATTGTTCATGTATAGCTTCAGAATTATGTTATGATGCTTATTTCTCAAATTTAAGTCAAACTATCTCTAGAGCCATAAGAATTTTCTCACCAATTGATATTTCCTTTACGATAAATTGAAGAAGAAAAGAAGACATGCTACTGTTGATGAGATTTGAGAAATTTTGTTGCTCACATTACAAAAATTGATTGGTCTAAAGTCGTTTCACAGTAAGGAAATTTCCACTTTAGGAATGAGCACAATAGTTATGACAATGATGTATTTTGGCAAATAAGCACCTTGAAAGAAATCTAACACTTCATTGTGGATTTTTTGTTGAATAAAATCTCAATAGTATATATATATATATGAAGACAAAGAAATCATCCCACCCAACAACACTGTCCTCGTTAATAAAAAAAAATGCCATGAATTTCTTAAAGTGTTGGATGGGTCAACATATTATTATCATAGGGTTGCATAAACGACTTGAATAAGTCTAAAATAGCAAATGACATATTTAGTTTGTCCAGGACAAAAACAATCTAAAGTAGTAGATAGCTTATTCTTTAATATTCTTTTGCGATTCCAGGGTTTGCTCACCTTCAATGATTGAAAATATACGAATCTTACTCATTTTTTTTCGCTTGATCGTAGAATGAAAAAAATTTCAGTTCCTCATGCCATCAACCATCCATCTAAAAATAGATTTTTGTTTCCCAAAGATTTTCTTCATGGTGATAACTTTGGTAAGGTTGGTTCCCGGTCAAAATTTTCTTCACTACGAGAAACTCATTTCACCATACTTGAGGATTTCGAAGATATTACCAAACTTATGTTCATTCCACCGTCTAAGATATTGCTTCAATCGAAGAAGTTTCTAGTGAAGGTTTTGCAACCCTATGACTCTTGTAGGAATACTCCAATTCGCTTTAACCCTTGTCCCAAAAGCAGTGATATTTGATCTACATATGTTAGAAAAGAACATCCAGATCTTAATCAAAAAATTACTGACCATCTTGTCAAAATCAAGCATTTGTCAAAAGAAATTAGTGTCTTGTTTAATCATAAGTTGATATTTGACCAATACACATAAACTATAAGCTGTGTATTTAAAATGGCTAAGGTGAATATGCAGTTATGATCTACCACGGCAAACCATAATTGGTTATACATTTTGTTGGATTGGATTCCCTTATTGTAGAAGGCCCAACAACTTTTTTCGAGCTCATATCTCTGAGTGTGCCCTAATTTTAAATTAAGAGGAGTTGAGTTAAGTTGAATTGAAATTTGTGAGAACAATTGTAAAGTTCAATTGAAAAATCCACTCATAATGAATAATAACAAAAATTAAGAGAATATTTTTTCAATTTGGTTCCGATAATGATCTTCATTATCTTGGATATTTTCTGTTATAGTTTATTTTTACCATCTTATTTATTCGTATTCTTTTTTCTTGTCGGTTGTTGGGACATTTTCTGTGATTAGAATTTAAATTTCTTTTTTATATGTTTATGTTCTTTTTTTCTTATTGGTTGTTTGAACATTTTTTGTGATTATAATTTAATTCTTTTTTTTTTATTTTTATAATTATGTGTAGAATTTTAATAGCCTATGATTGGAGATTTCTTTTTATTGTACCAATCCTACTGATATAGTGATTTTTTACGTTAGGTCAAGTAACAAATATCGTGACTTTGATCCTTCACATGAGTACTTTTTATGTTATTTAATTATTGACGTAGTTTATTTTTATTTGTCATTTACTATTTATTGGTTAACAAAAAATAAAATAAAATTATTTTAATTAAAAATTTTGGTGTAAAGTGGAGGATAGGTTGGTTGGATGTGACCATAATCGGGCATATCCACATGCAAGCACAATATCGTCCTTTTTTTTTTTTTTTTTCTTGGAATTTTGTGTTTTCCCAACACTTTTATAAATTATAAATACGTAAGGCTGTGATCACAAAATCGATTCCAATACGAAATCACTGATTAATTCATGACATCATATATTGGCGATATCGATCGATGATGTTTCTACAAACCGAACGGCCTGGGCCAAAACACATGAATTAATGATAACAATTGATTAATTGAGGTTGACAGATATATGATAATTATTTATTTAATTAATTAATTAATTATGGAGATACGAAAAAGCAAGCCCCGATAACAAAGTAGCATAGCAGCAGAACAATCCCCTTGAGGTAATGAGAAGTGCCATCCTGCAATATTATTACCATTGCATATAAATATATAAATTAAAAGAGATTATAATTATAATAGTATTATTGATTTTAATTAAATAAAGATATATGATTAGATGTTGCATTGCACCTGTAGCACGAAGGCCGTTACGATTATTGATAAAGCAAGACAGCTTGTTTCGACCACCCTCAAATCAAGATCCATCTCCACTCCTATAATCCACGACACTATCACACTCAATGGAACCTGCATGGAAATTTTTATTAATTCCATTTTATAAATAAAATAAAATAATAACAAAAATAAAATATTTTATATAATATCTATATATATATGTTATAAATTACCACAAACAAAGCAATCTGCGTTGCTGACCCTAGAGCCACACCCAACGATATATCCTGCATATACATATATGTATGTATAAGTTTTTTTTTTTTTTTTTTTTAAATATATATATATGTAAAAAAAAAAAAAAAAAAAAAAAGAACCAATTTGTTCTTGAAAGCAAAGATGATTGCCCCAGCATGTTCAGCTGCATTTCCAACAATTGGCAGTAGAATCACACTGATGAAGCTTACAGACAGCCCCCAAGAATCTGAAGCACTCTATACGTACATACATATATATATATATAAATAATGTTAGTAAATGAATTTGGTAATTAATATAATTAATATACTACCTCCGTTCTGTAAGAAGCTTAATGTTTATTTTTGTATGTAGATTTTTTAATATTAGTATTATATTGGTTTATAGTAGTTAAAAAAGACAAAAATTGTCTGGTATTTGTATAATATAGTATTAATTAATATAATGTAATTAATTAATGAAACTTACTTCAATAGTTGCAACAACGTACTCCGACAGTAGGGCAATGACACACGTCATCAAAACCAACCACACAAACCCTCCCCAGAATCCGATCACCGGACTTTCATCTTCCGCCGCCGCCACGTCATCGTCGTCTTCCTCAGCCTAATACACCAGACACACATATAAATAAGTATTAATTAATTAATCACAATAATTAATTAATTAATTAATTAAACCTCTTGGGCTTCAAACAGCTGGCGATGAGTCCATAGCTGGAACAGCAAATAAGCAATATAGGCTACGAGCATTAGAACGCAGCTAGCCCTCGACAGCCCCAGTGTCGACACGTGGACATTGGCACCACTAAACTTAAGCATCAATGGCAGCACGTGACAGAGCAGCCCTAGTAAGAGCAGCATCGAGTTCACATCGGCTTGTCTCTGCGCACCACTCCCAAATATTATTATTCAAATTAATTAATTATTCAAATTAATCCATAATAATAATAATAATAATAATTACTCTGTCGAATTTCTGGTGTTTATACAAATTGGCAATGCCGCCGCAGAAAAGGGAGGTCCCGAGAACCAGGAGAAGGTTCGAGAGAATTGAGCCCAGAAGAGAGTATTTGACGAGGTCCACTTTCCGCTGACACAGCGCCAGGATCGCAATTATCAGCTCCGTCGCATTCCCGCACGTGGCATTTAGGAGTCCTCCCACTGCACTTATTGTAATTAATTCACTCAAATCATATTTATATATAGATAATAAATTTCAATTATAGTACATACCTGTTGGCCCTGTGTAGTAAGCAATTTGCCTGCATATTATTATTATTATCATTATTATTAATAATAATTATAATTACATTATTCAAAATATTAAATAACAGACTCAGACTCACTAATTCAATTATAAACTGTTTGTAGGTTTAATTTACTCACTCTGTGAGAAAACTAACTCTCTCCGCCAGCGGCGTCAGTCCCACCAGACTCAGCCCAAATATCCACGCCTGCTTATTTTACACATTTCATCAATACATACACACACATATATATATATATATAGAGAGAGAGAGAGAGAGAGAGCATAGATATATATACTCTTCCGTAATGGCGGTAGTGAGCGAGAATGGCGAAAGGGACAGCGAGGAGGAGGGGGGAGAGTTTGGTCCCGAGAAGGACCTCCTGAAGATTAGCGAGAAAGGCCCTCAGAAACCCGACCCGGATCCGGGACACCAACGCCAGATCCGATTTCTTCCGCAGGGAAGAAGACGACACGTTGTGGGCCGTACGCCTCATCGCCACCGCCTTCTTCCCGCCGCTCTCCAGAAGCCACGTCGCCGCCGCCGCCTCGTAGTCCTGATTCGCCGCCATACCGACTACACGTGGCCTTCTGTGGTGTCGACACGTAGATCGATCAGCAGTGCATGCAGATGCAGAAAGCGAATACGATATCGAATTGTATGCAATGGATTGATGATGTTTGGATGGATATTTATATACAGACTCTTCAATCTCATCATCTGTACAAATTCTCGATCCCCACCACGAGCACCTTCCGCGAAGCTTCCTCCCCACCCAACAACATATTTCATATGCAGATTTTCTTTTTTTTTTTTTTTTTTTTTGGGAAATTTAAATTTTTTTGCAGTATTATTTATGACATCCTTATCTGAAATATTGCAAGTATAATGTATTTATTTGGAAGATGATTAGTTAATACCCAACCTTCTCATAATTGGGTTATAACCACTTACCTTCCCTCTCTCAGTATAATTGTTTTTCCAATTCCAGTTTACTTGGTTTTTGACTTGAGATTGAAATTTTTATGGTGGGTTTTACTGTCCAATTTATGTTGTCCTAAATATATTTGCACAGTTTTTTTTAGATGATTGTCTTTTTGTTATAATTTGATAAATTTTTCATTAATTGTATTGTAAAAATTAAAAATAATAAATAAATAAAATGTAAAAATGTAAAATTTGTGTTTAAAAAAAGAAATAGGATCATAGTTGTCGGACTGTCCCAAATAAAAAATAGAACATTAATTTATAGACGGATGGAGTAGTATTTTTCTTTTTGTTTTAAAATAAGATATTCATTTGTTTTTTTCATGTATTTTCTTCAAGAGAAATATAAAATTATCTCACTAGTATTGTTAATATAAATATAATAAATTTTTTAGTATGTAATAAGTTGTAGAAATATTTTTAATATTAAATAAATAATATAATTGTTAAAATAAAAAAAAAATAAAAATGAATATTTTGTTTTTGAAGGAATCAAAATAAAGAAAAAAAAAACTTCTGTCTTGGACCGAGGAAGTATTTAGAATCATATGTAATGAATAATGTAATTTGATTGATTATTGGTTGAAATAATTTGAAATAAAATCTTGATTTGAAATTTTGTATAAACAATATTTTATAAGATGAAACAATAATTTTTTATCGGCTATAATGATGTTTTTTTTTATCTGAAATTAAAAAAAAAAAAAAAAAACAACACAAACACACAATTATCGTAATAAATAAGTATTAAATGAAATGAAATAATTAAATATTAAATTTTTTATTTTGCAAAAATTAATAAGGATGTAAATTTAATGAACAGACTAAAAAAAATAAGAGTAAATTTAACGGACGAATGAAATAAAAAATTATATGCATATTTATCGAAAAAGATTAAAATGTATATATTATGCTCCTTTCGTCCCATTGGAAGGGTAGCATTTGCTTTATGCACATAGATTTTTGAATATTAATATTATATTGGATTGTAGTAAGAAAAATAAAAATATCGGTGTAATATAAAAGTAATGACATTTGTGTAATATATTGTAAGTTGAAAGGGTATTTATTATGTTAAGTAGGTAGTACAATTACTAAATTAGAAAATTGTAACCTTGTTTTGGAACGGACGAAAATAAAAAATTGTAACCTTTCAATGGGAGAGGGAGTATATGATACAGGTTAATAATAAAGAATAACAACACACCCGGAAGAACTATACATTAATGATTCAGAACCCAAAGGTTAATCCACGTAAACAGGGGCGGATTCAAGTAGAAGGCAGTGGTAGTGGTAGCACGTGCCACCACCGATTTTATCACACCAAAAGAAATTTTTTATAAGTAAATAATTGTGTCATCACTAAAAAGTTTGAGTGTCTCAACTTAAAATTTGAATGTCATTGTTATCCAAAAATATTTTAGTGGATTATTTAAAATTTAAACTGTCATTAGTATCCAAATAATTAAAATTCAATCCAATGAAAATAATCAATTTATATTATATATATATAATAGTATTATAATATTATTTTATATCATTAATAATAATTTATTTTTATAAATATTAATATTATTATTTTTATTTTTATTTTTTAATATATCGATTGTGCTACCACTAAAAAAAATTTTTAGATCCACCTGTGCACACTTAAAGAGTCATGGACACATTACTTGAAAAAGAAAAAAAAGTTGTTCTAAAATATCAACAATAAATCAAGAGTTTTGCAACGCAAAAACAAAAATTAGGAATAAACCGCCGTTGTCCCGAGCAACATCGATAATAAATTCAAACTAGCTTGTATTCTCTGCATGCATCCGACTCCAACATGCAACCTAACAAGTTTTGTCAATCCATAGAAAATATGGTAGAATGTAGCTTCGATCTTTTTCTTCTTTTTTTTTTGTTTTTTACCCTTCGAATTCTAGCCGTCCAAATACAAAATATATCAAGGCAAACAGAACTAAACGCCTCAATAAATGCAGTGTTGAATTGTTACTATTGTTCTTGAGGAACAAATAGGCTGCTTCGGCAAGAGTTCAAAGTTCTCTCTGCGCTTGAAGCCACTCACAGATAAAAGACCAAACTTTAGATGAAATGAACACATGAAGAAAGGTGGACAACATTTTTAGGATGCTCCTAGCACAAGTCACATGTCGGATTGAGATCAGTAAATATGAGTCGAGCATTGGTTTTGAGTTTTTCCAAAGCACTGAACAAGAAGATAACGAGTATTTGCGTTGTTAGGGAAATGTCCAAATTGAGCAGGAAGTAGCCCCGAACTTATCCAAATAGTTCATGAGAATTCCCACCAAATGTGCATCACTCCAAGACAGAATAATTATATTATTTGCAAAACCGAGCGGCTAATTTCAAGGGGCTCCCAGCCCAGGTGATAGTTCATCTCAAGCTCATGACATAATTTAATCAAGATCTAAGAGAAGTATCCCATATAAATAATGAAAAATTACGGAAAAAGGGGATCACTTTGACAAAAATCTTTTCATCTTTGAAAAACCGTGGTTACTGCCATTTATAGAAAACGAGAAGGATATATTAGTAACACACTCTATCAAGAGTGAATTCATTTTTCGCAAGAAAGGCTAAGAAATCGAGTCAAAAGCATTTACAAATCAAGTTCGATTATACATATTGATGAGCTTCTCTTTTGATTGTAGAAACGCAAAAGTTCTTGGAGGAATAGGATATTCTCAGCCATGTTACTCCCTTGGAACAAAGGCATCTTGTGATTTGTCAATTATAAGATCAAGACCGATGTTCAATTTGTTCGCCAAAGCTTCACAATGATTTTGTAAAAGACTTGACAACGATCTATCGGTTTAAAGTCTGCTACACTCAGGCATTGGTCGATTTAGAAATCAACATTTAGACTGTATGGTTATGTTCTTTGAGAAGCTAACCATACTCAAAGATCGCTACTTGGGATCTCGAGTGAGCAAAGTCGGTTCTGACTTTCGAATGACTCTAGGATTTGAACTTAAAACTTCAATATTAAAAATTAATTTCTATACTATCAAACTATAATTCTTTATATTTACATATATCAAATAAATTATATACATAAATTATACATATATAACATAAATATATAATGGCCCCCCTGTTTATTGTGGGCTCTGGGCGGACACTGCTCCCGCCCGGGCCCAGGGCCGCCCTGGTTATAAATATAATTGCATTTGATTTTTTGCTAGACAAACTATATGGCTGATTTTTGCAACCGAGCAACTTCTTCACGCTTTTGAGCAAGGAATCCATGTCCAAGGAATCAGAATCGGATGCAATCCAAGAGAATTTAAGGTCTTTCACTACCATTTTATATCTCTCCAAAATGTAAGACATAAGCACTACGAAGATCTTACGAAGTCCGAAAATGAAAGGCGAGAACTCCACATATTTCCTAGTAACATGGTCGAAGAGGAAGGTAATTACCGGAGAATGATCAGAGAATTCTGCATGAAGAAAAAAAGAATTGCTTGAAAAGTCCTCAAGAAGAAAATGGTTAACCATAACCCTATCAAATTGTAATACCCCTCCCCCTCCCCCGAGTTGGACCGTTGCATGGCTAACTCTCATGTGTAGATAAATCGGTATTAGGCCATCTGAAATTAATTAGAGATTAAATTAATTGAATAGTCTACTTATGTCAACAATATGCACATTATTTTTCGAAAATCCTACTGAAAAAAAAAAAAAAAAAACTTTAGAGTTAAGCGTGTTTGCTCTAGAGTAATTTGAGGATGGGTGATACACTGGAAGTCTCTCAGGATGCCCACTAAAAGGACTCGTATTAACATGTAGGACCAATTTACAATCCCGACACGCCCATTTTGCTTACAACTATACAATTTCCTTTATCCTAAACGTCAATAACTGCATTGAAGTGACTAAGGAGCATTCAAGGAGAACGAAGGTTTTTGCCAAAACCAACAAGGCTATTCCAAAGAGGTTTGTGTTGATCATTGTTGTTTGTCTATTTTTATTTATAATAAAAATAATTATATTTAAATATTAAAATACTTTTTATTTTTACAAAATATTTATTTTATTTGTATTTTTAAAGATAAAAATATCAAAATAAAGTTTTACGTTTCTACCGATAAATAAAATATTACTTCGTCTTGTAAGAAGAATATCATTTTTCATTTATGTCCGTCCTAAAACAAATGTGTCGTTTCCTAATTTAATAATTATACTATATGCTTAACATAATAAATATTCTTATAATTTACTGTACATTATACAAATATTATTAATTTTATATTACACAATACTAATAAAATTATTTTTGTTTTTATATTACTCCCCCCGTCACTTATCATGTCCATCTTTCTATTTTCGTTTGTCCCACTTATTATGTCACTTTTTTTTTTGGAAAATATTATACACTTTAATCTTATTTTAAAATTTTTTATTTAATTTTTTTTTAAATTTGAACTATACTAAATAGTTATCTCTATCTTAATTTAAAATTATTTTTATTAAATAATAATTATTTTTACTAATATATTTTTAATTATTTATTAATTATATTTTTTCTAAATACAAAAAATAAACTCTCCTCTTTTATGACATGGAAGGTATATTATTTCTAAATTGATACATTAGACCATGACAGAGCAATTATATAGGAAGTCAGCGTAGGCCCCTTTGTATTTCTTTAACGTATTT